TTTTTTTTTTTTTACTTCACATCATGATTCCACACATTTGCAATATGTTTCTCCAACTGTGCACATGGACATGTGTGGACAAACTCCCTCTCGGGGGCTGCTAGATTTTTATTGCTTAACATTATGTTTTTAGTTTGCCAGCAAGATTTAAGTGTTTCATCTGGTGCGTGGTCTTCTTCCTGTTTGGTTTTTGTGTGTTTTTTAAAGAAAGCTGGGTCTGATTGGTCTTTTATCTTAAGTTTTTTTTAATGTTTTATTTATTTACACACACATATTTTTTATGTGTGTGTGTGTATTTTAAATATTTGTGTATTTCTTTCTCTGTCTCCTCAGCAGGGCAGTGCTCCACACTCACAGCACTGAGTGTAAAAGGCCCTGACGCCTCCAAGACGCCTGTTTTAAATTCAGCAGCCAAGACCCTGAACAACTGTAATTCACCCTCGGACGGACAAGAAGACAAAGAAAACGCCACACCTCCAAGAGACAGAAATAAAGCCAAGCTGGTGCTTGTGTCGTCTGGATTAGGGCCCAATGAACAGGTATCAGATTAATCAATTAACAATCTCCACCAAGGAGGTTATGCTTTCATCGACGTGTGTTTGTTTGCCTGATAGTTGGCAGTAGTACACAAAAACTACTTGACAGATTAACAAGAAACTTCGGAAGAATGTGTCACAGGGAAGAACAATAAGGGCCTGTTGGGCCTTGGCGGAGGTGCAAGCCTTTTCTGAGTGCCATACTACTTTGTCTATTTAGGAATCTCCGTTGTAGGGTACACACAACTCATCAGTTGTTGTTGTTTTTGACAGATACTTGTGAAAAAGTTTGCCAAGCGAGTCGGGGCTCGTGTGGTTTCCCAGGTGACACCGGAGGTCACACACATCATCATGCGCACAGGTAAGTGTGTTCACATGCAGACAGTGAGAGTGTATAACATTTCATTTAAACACTGCAGCTGTTAAAAGTGTCTTCAATCGATGAATTTATTCACAAGATCTGAATTGATGATTCAAAATTGACTTCATACACACTCGAGCAATTAAACCTGCTCTTAAACCCTTTAACTTTTTTCAAACATTTCCTCCAGCAGCAACATTTTCATTTCCACAAGTACATTTCCTTTCAATGTGTCGTTACAGCTTGTTTTGTGCGTCTGTTAAAACCCTCCTTGGAGATAAGCTCTCTGTTTCTCTCTCACCCACACACTCGCCCCTCCATTCATCCACTTGTTGCTAATTACACTCTCTGATAGATTATTTTTAATTTCAAAGCTTGCTGTCTCCAAAGCAGCATATTAACTGTCACTGTTGAAGATGCCTTTTTCTTTTTAATGGCAGCTTGTTTCCCAGGCAACCACAAAAAATAAGAACATGGCGCCTCTTGAGCGTTGTGGTTAAAGGTTGAAAAGGAGCAGGACGTGTCCCATTCTAACCTTTAGCACAGAGTCATTTGAAATCATTTAAACTAAAGTTGTGTGTGAGGTGTCAGTAGTTTGCTTCCTGACTGGAATTCTGAGGATTACAATATCTCGTGAAGGAAGAATATCCCTTGACACATGATTTGTGTCTGTGATGCTTTACACTGTTCTCCTTCCAAAACTCTTTGCTGCAGTTTAAAAGAACTCCTGGTTTATTTTGGCTTTGGCTGTCTTAACTAATAATGACTTCAATCGTCGTCATGGAAGCTATTTTTAATCATCAGAAAATTGTTTGATTTTCATTTGTTGATATGAAGGATAAAGTAAAACAGAACGCACAAAACATGAAGGCCAACATCTTCCCTGTGTTCGTCCTTCTCTTTAAACTTCACTCAGGAACATTATGCATTTTACCAAGATGTTCACTTACAGAACATTGTTGCTCCACTAAAAAGAGTTATTAGTTGCCATGTCAAATCATGCTCTGAATCATGTTTTATAAATAATATATGATGTAAACTTCAGTAGCATCCTCGGGGTCATACATTTTATCTATGGTTTTGAAGTTGTGGTTTATCTTGTCACTGTTTTGTGTGAAACCAAGTGAGTGTTCATTTTTCATAATCCTTCTTTAACAATGATTCACTACAACAACAACAATTAGGTAGAAAAACTCATAAATAATAATTAAAATCAGTCTCTATAAAAGAATAATTGGATTAGAATCTACCAGAGGCATCAAATTTGGGCTTTTATGACCAAATTTTACATCCAAGACGGAACAAGCCCTCAGACCTGCCAAGCTGCTGCTCCATATCCTCGTGGAATACTCTGGTTACACATGCTTGTATTTGCCCTTCAGATCTCGATGTAACTAACCTAACCATTTATTAATATATTTAAGATACTTTATCAAACAAAGCCATTTAGATCTTGATTATGTGGTCAGTTTATCTGATATGTTTCTTTGGAAATTGGCTCAGTTTGTGTTTCCATATCTGTGTTACAAAATCAAGGTGTGTATTTATGTGAGAGTGTGAGAGAGAGAGAGATTGTACACATACTCTCTAACACCTTGTCACACATCTCTTCTTGATCTCCTGTATCTGCCAGATGAACAGCTGGTATGTGAGCGCACGCTGAAGTACTTCCTTGGCATCGCGGGCAGGAAGTGGGTCGTGAGTTTCCAATGTGAGTCCTGCTTCACTTCACTATCAAAGCTCTGTCACTGATGAGTTTAGAGCAATTAGTCTAAATACAAAACACCACGATGATGGAGGGAGAGGCTGTAATAAAAGTGATACAGCGTAAGCTCACAAGTTCTTGTTCTTTCTTTCTCTCTGCAGGGATTTCAGAATGCTTCAAACAAAAGAAACTCCTGGATCAGGTATGCTCCTTGAATTTGCTCACCAGTTCCTGTTAATCTCTGTATGTCTTGATGTTGAATTAATTAATGCTTCATGATGACTCTCTCTACGAGGTTAGCTGTGATACTTCATCAATTATTTGTCGCCCATTAGCTTTAGCAAACCTCACATCTGATTCTTTGCAATGGAAGCGTAATCCTGCAGCAAGCTGTAGTTCAGTTTTGCCATTAACTTAACAAATATTTCCCAGAACTTCAAAGCGTTTCCATGCATTTATAAGATGAACTCTGTCAAACTGATGTGTTCAGGGTTGTTTTACTCCTAAAGTAAATGAAGTGAATATTAATATTAATTGCGTGTGTCGGATGAGATTGAACTGTTTCAGCACTTATTTAGAAAGGTGGTAGAAAAAGAAAAGCTGTTCCACATTGTCATCCGTGTTCTTTATACACACTGAAGCCAGTTTCTTATGTTGTCCAACAGAGTCTGTTTGAAGTGAAAGGCGACGTAGTGAACGGACCAAACCACCAGGGCCCCTCAAGAGCTCGAACCACTGCAGACAGTAATGTGAGTCATTGGCACATTGAACAGGACGGTCGATTATACGACCTCTGTTTGGTTTAATGACCCCTAAAGGTAAAAGTTAAAGTCAGGGATCACCCAGAGGAATGAAACATGTGTGTCATACGGCTCTGGTCTTTCACCTGCAGCTTGTATAATGTTTTATTGCATATTCACAGAAAATTTCCAGATTTGGCTGAAAATGTTGCATTCATGATTGACCCCTTCAAAAAGAAATCAACGCTATACTAAGTCAAGTTTAACACTGAAACAATTCAGGTAACGTTAAAGAAACTGTGTAAAGTGTAGCTCTTCCTCAGACGACAGGGAAATGTGTGTAATTAATAGTAAGTGTATTCATTTAATTTTAATGACTTACTTTGTTTGTCAGAGTTCTCAAACAGACACATTTACCTCAAGGATTTATCTCAGCACTTGTATTTTAGATTTAACCACCGCTTCTGTACAATCTACAGTCAAACTCTGAGTTTCAGTACCCAATATAAAACTGTCCAAATGCTACTGTACAAATAAGACGGGTCACAAAGGTGAAAGTCAGCATGTGCACAAGGAAGGTCTTGAACCTTGTTTCCTCCTCTTGCAACAGCCTCTTAGCACAGCCCTCGTTGTTGAAAGCGAATGGTAATATTCCTCCTGGTGCGCAGCCAGCAGGACCGGTTCTGTTGCCACTGAAGGGGAAAATTAGAAATGGCTAGGTGTCATGTTGGCCGTATCGCTGCCTTTGAAGAACCTCTGCTAATTGAATTAGCTAGTAATTTCAGGCTTATTTAAGTGGCTTCAGCACCTCGCCGGCACTTTGATGGAGCCGGACAGATTGCCCCGTTCATATTCACCTTCTGTCACCCGCACCGTTGGCAAACAGACTAACAGATGAAATGGACTGGGAGGGAGTCTGTCAGCGGAATGTTGATGTTTAGGAAATCAAAGAAACTGTGTGTGTGTTTGTGTGTGTGTTTGGATGTTATCACAGCACACACTCTTAATACCTCCTGAAGGACATTAGCTGTTGTCTAAATTAAAAATCTGTAAGAGAAACACTTTTTCATCTCACCCAGCACCTCTGGCTAATGATCACTATAGACGGACGGGGAGGAGTGACAAATTAGTATTTCTTTCTCCGGCAGCTCAAACATTTATCTTCCAAACACCAACCATCTGCCCAGACACTGTATATATGAGGCTGCGGTCTAAGTTGCACCACTTCCTCGCAGTTACCATGATTCAAGAAAACAGATTTACTTTCCTTTCCCAGGCTTATTGACCCTGAGTGCAATAAAACGTGTCCCTTGGGTTGGATGGGTCTTTTTTTGGAGATGTTTTCTATCGCGTGAAAGTGCCTCTGTTTACTTCTGTTCGACTCTTCCTTGAATTTACAGTGAGAGCAAAGAATTAACAAGGTCCTGAGGTTTTATTTTACACGGTAAGCGAGGTGGACTTGTTATAAATCCGGGGATATGCTTGGGGAAGTGTTTCAGCCTCACCAGTGAAATGCTTCAGACAGGTGCAAAGTTCTGAGACACACTCAGCATTAATGGCGGAGGCTGTAATGGTCGTACTCATTCAGTGTCATTGAACGTCATCCGAAGGTTAAATTCACTGATTCAATGTTCACAGTAG